GGGCCGCTCGGGCAGGGCCATGTCTTCCCTGGCTGCAGTCAGAGGTCGTGCAGGTCAGAGGTCAGCGGGGGCCTGACCGATAGGTGGGAACACAAGCCCCAACTCCCCATGACCTCAGCTCCTCGGCTCTTGTCCTGGAAGCAGGAAAGGACGGCGGGGCCGGGAGCGAGGCGGCCGGAGCGGGCCATCTCGTGTGCGTTTCTTTCAAAACCTCTCACAGACGTGAAACGTGTGGCCACCGTGGCATTTTCGGTCCAAAGACAGCTGGTCTACACCTCGCATCAGTCCCCGCCTGTCCACGCCTCCCCCACCGCCCATTACCAGAGGCCAGGGGCTCCCTCCTGCAGCTGATGGGACCCGGGGCCTTAAACAGTGACCACAGCTGCCAAGGCTGCGGACGCGCCCGCCCCACGCGGCCGGCGCCCAGGTTTCTGCGTAACCAAGACTCTCGTGGCCCGCCAGGTTCCCTGGCAAACGTGTGCTCCTCTGCGGTCTCTCACGTGGGGCGGGGGGGCGCTGCGGGGAGTCGGGAGTCCCCCCACCCCCATTTGTCACAGGGAAGCGGGTCAGAGGCGCAGCCTGGCCCGGCCTCCTGCCCGGCCCAGCGTCTCCTGTGCTCCCGCCCTCAGGCGCCCGGCGCCCACTGGACCGAGGGTGGGCTCCGACCCTTGGGCCCCTCTAATGGGGCTCCAGCCTCCGGACACCCTGACCCCCTTTCCTTCAGGCCCTGGGCCTTGAACAGGGCGGCCTCGGGTGAAGGCGGCGCTCCGACCTCGCGTCCCGCCTTCACCTGCCGCCGCCCTCCCGCACAGGGGCTAGGACCGGCCACGGGGCGTCTGCACGGCCGGCCTCCCCGCCGGGCACTTGGCCCTGGCTCTGCCCCCCGCTACCTGGGACCGCTACAGCAGAGGGGCCTGGGGCTGCACCCGGGGGTGCAGGGGTGAGTTTCAGCCCAGCCCCCCCGCTCTTCAAACGAGCCCGGCTCGCCTAGTTCTCAAGGCTTGGTGACAGTGAAGTGACAAGGCGCACCGTGAGGCCGGCGAGCTGCTCCGGCTCTCCCTGCTGGGTGTCCTCAGGTGCCCTGAGTGCTGTGCGACACCAGCAGTAAACAGCCGTAGCCGGGGCCCAACCCTGTGCATGGGCCTCACCCGGCAGCAGTCGGATGCGCGGAGGGTCTGGAGGCTGGGGAGCCCCTGGCCCACGATCACAGGCGCCCTCGGGGGAGGCTGGGGAGCCCCTGGCCCACGCTCACGGGCGCCCTCGTGGGAGGCTGGGGAGCCCCTGGCCCACGATCACGGGGCGCCCTCGCGGGAGGCAGGAGGGCCGGGGGGTGGGAGCAGGGCTGGGCTGATGTGTTCTGAGCATGAGCAAGGGCATCATGGGGAGTCTGTGTTTCCAGAAGCAGAAGACGACGAGACGGGCTCCCCTGAAGCCGCCGGCGGGAAGCCTGGCCGCCTGCCCCGCCCGGGGCCCCTCTGGCCAGGCGCTGGGGTAAGCACCGTGCGGGTTGGGGCCACCCCCTGGGGCTTGGGCAGCCGCCCCGGGGAGCCAGCGCCCTCCCGCGTCCGGGGAGCGGCGGGCCTGTCGGGGCCTATGGACTCCGTGCTGGCGGGAGCAGGGCCCCGAGCCTGGCGCCTTCCGGCCCGTTCCGGAGCCCCCCGGCTCCCAGCAGGCCTTCCGGTGACAGCGTCTGCGCTGTCAGGAGCAGAAATAACTGTCTATTTTGAGGGCCCTGCGCTGCGGTTTCCATGGCTACCCTGCCGTATTGCCAGCAGACAGGAGACCCGGGCTGCTCGCGCTTGCCAGAGAGCGGGGCGGGCGCGGCAGGCACACCCCAGCACGGCCCGCGTCGGGTGTCGGGCGAGCCGTCCAGGGCCTCGGCCTCCTGCCTGTCCGACGGCAGGAGGGACACCCCGCGGCCCCGCACCCCTCACTCAGGGAGCGGGAGGCCGCGTCTCGCCTCCTGGGCAGCAATGCCGTGGCCAGTCCCTCGGGGTCACGGCCAGGCCCTCGGCCTTCGAGCGGAGTGGACAGTGGGCAGAAACGAGGTCTAATCTCCAAATGTCTTTCAAAATTAGCTTAAAGACAAGCATCTGTGCTCTGAGGGAAACAACAATTCGCCACTGGCTGAGGCCAGCCGCGTGCTCTCGCTCACAGGCCTGAGCAAGGCGTGGGACCAGCAGTGTCCCGCTGCCGGCCGGAGCCGGCCTGAAGAGGGGCTTCTGGGCGGGACGGGCGCTGAGAGCGGAAAGAGGACGCTGAGCACGCAGTGTGCACAGCACAAACGGGCCCCACGCAAGACGTCTCCCCGCAGGTGCGGGGGCCACTGACCGCCTGGAAGAAGGCACAAGGGCCGCTCGTGAACAGACTAATCCCGTGCTGAGCCCAGCGAGGGCCACCGGAGAGCAGCCTCCCGCGGACACGCGCAGAGCCGCTTCTCGGCGCCCGCAGGGTGCACGAGGGAAACTGGCTTCTTCCCGACCCCACCCGGTGGCCCCGCGGCTGGCACCTGAGGTCCTGTCGGTGTCCGTGGGCACCTGGGCCCCAGAGCACGTCGGGGGGACGCGTGGGTGGCGGGACAGTGCCGGGGGCAAGGGCCCGTCTCTGGGCCAGGAGAGCGCCAGAGCACTGAGGCCCGTGAAATTCTACCGCGGGGCCCTCCCTGGAGGCGCGAGGGTTAAAGCACAGCGGGGGGGGGGGGACGGACCCCTGGGGGGCAGACCCCTCCCATCTCCCCGCTGCTCCCCTCGATGGCCGATGGCCATGGTGGTCAGTCCATCTGCCTGTCCTGCTCCCCACTGTCTCTGGGGAGTCCTCTCACCCCGCATCTCTGGCCTGCACCCCAGTTCTGTATACAGAAATACATCTTTTTTTAAAAACACCTGCCGCGGGCTCCATCCTTCTTCTGTGAGAGCCCACAGGACGCTGCCGCTCAGGGGTGGCTGCGAGGAGGCACCTTTCCCGCCCGTGGCCGCGGCCTCCGGGAGCACAGGGTCAGTCAGAAGCCGCGGTGTCCTCCCCGTGATGGGTGGGGGCAGGCACTGGCCCCTCCGGACAGCCAACGCTCCCACTCCCTGGGGAGGGCTCAGACCCGCGCAGGGCTGAGCCTCGAGCCCCGCGCCCTG